TGACTAAAAATTTAGGGGGAAGAATACTAGAAGTGCCAAAATTTGTATACGGCGTTCACCTTAATGCCAAAAGTTTTTTTCGGATTACTTAAGTGCCACTTTTAAAAAAAAAAACGATCACTTAAGTGCCAACTCCGATTTGAATCTCCGAAAATCTAACGTGGCCATATTTTATTAATTTCTCAATCATACGTGGCACGTTGGTGTTGACAGGGACAATATGTAATAATATTTTAATATTTTTTCCTATTTTTAATATTTTTTTCCTTCTTTTCTTTTTTTCATTTCTTTCTTCTTCTTCTTCTCCCTTTGGCCGGTGACCGGATACCGCCCATAACCGGCCGGCCTGGCCTTGCTCCGACGAGGCCGCCATCGCCCGCCACAAGCGAGGCCCGGCCGACCCTCGCCTGGGCGAGGGTACCTAGGTGAGGGTCGGCCTCACCTCACCTGGGCAAGGCGAGCCCCGAGCGACGCCCGGTGAAGGTGCCATGGCCTGGGCGAGGACCGGCCTCGCCGGGGCTCGCCTGCCCTCGCCCAGGCGAAGGTTGTGGTGAGCGACGGTGGCCTTGTCCGGGAGAGGCCAGGCGACCAGCCATGGCCCATGGCCGGTGTCCGGTCACTGGCCAAAGAGAGAAGAAGAAGAAGAAAGAAAACAAAAAAAGAAAAAAAGGAAAAAAAAAAAAAAAAAATCAGAAGAAATATTTAAAAAATCAAGATATACACATGAAAATGCCACGTAGACTGATTTTTTTTTAATAAATCAAACTCATATTAAAATTTTAATTATAAAAGCCATGTATTAATTTGGCCAGAATTTCTCGCCGTTGGCACTTAAGTGATCGTTTTTCCTCCGATTTGACACTTAAGTGAGCTGGCAAAAATTTTTTGCACTAAAGTGATCGCCGTACACAAATTTTGGCACTTCTACTATTCTTCCCCCAAAAATTTAGAAGAAGTTAGTATATTACCACTTAATCAAGATGTCGGTGAATTTCTCAGTATTTTATTAACAACATTTGTAAAAATTTCAAACGGGTTGGTAATTTACTAACCTACTAGAACGTTGATAGATTTCTTGTAGGGTTGGTATTTTATTTTTTTGTCAGAGTAGGGTTGGTAGCTTGCTAATTAACCTTTTTAACAATTCAAAGAGGTTGATAACTTACTATCCAGTGGCGGTAATTCACTTTCAATATTGGTAAAATTTTGTAGAAGTTGGTAATTAGTGCTTCATTCGAAAGTTGGTAAATTCCCAACAGTGTTTAGAAAATTTATTGAGGGATTACCGAACATTCGTGTTATCGGCCGTACTCTTTTCACCAAATTCCGACGGTATTAGACATTCACCAATGACTGGACCATAGAATCAGTCCCACATAAAGTTGGACAGAACAAAGTTTGAACAGTCAGGGAAAATCAACCTGCACTTGATGTATAAGCATACATTGATTGTTATATAAATTCAGCAATAATCATAGTCTTGCCTCTTTGCGAGATTAGAGTATGAACAAAACAAGTTAACGGGATGCCTTTTGGGGAGTAAACGGAAGAGGTTGTGGCATCGATTTTACAAGTTTGTGAAGAGGGCTGGATAAGTGGAATGACGGGGATCGGCTCGATCGACAAAAAAGAAGGGTACCCCTAAAACCCGGCAAAGTAAGTACCACATTCGTTCCCCAAAAAAGTCAAAGAAAGAGCGGTAGATATACACCGATGAGGGAGAAAGTGCCCCTTCGGATAAAAACTCTTCCACGTAGTGTAGTGGAGTGGGAGAGATTTATGACTATATAGACTATAACGAGGATGACGACAAATTCACTCCCGATATGTCAAGTAGGAAAGTAGCTTTGATTGATTCAAATCCAATTCACGAAACCAAAAAAAAAGGGTTAGTGTAATGAAACTTGGTCGCTGATAGTCTTCCCTAGACTGTGTGGTGGTTACGCAATCTTCTTCTTCGATTAGTATAAGAGTTCCCGATGCAACTACTCAAATGAGGAATTAAGTGCTATCGCTACCAAATGAGTCTTACCATGGAGGCTTGGACGAGAGTTATCCCATAATCGTTACGAGAGCATTGGAGGTTACACTAAGATCACTTCCAAGTCTAGCTCTATCGCCCATTGGGCAAATAAACTGCATTAGTGGTATAGAAATGGTATTAGCGGGAGGAGTAAATTTACCGTAGATCTATTTAGATTCGGCCCTTCCTTCTTACCCTTTTAATTCACTCCCTTAGGCCTTGAAAATACTATTCTGTCTCGCTCTATCGTTACTGTTTCGTGCTTTAAAGCACCACTTGTCACGCCGATTTTGTAAGATTACCTGGATCTTGAGTATTTACTCGTAAGAACTGAATTCTTTTGCAATGGGAAGTTGCAATTGTGAAAAATTGGAATCCGGTCAATTTATTCTTTTGCCAATTCGAATGGTGCGTGATAGCTTTCTAATACGATGCGACTCAAGTGCAAAATACAATGATCCCGTGCCCTAATTGAACTTATTAATGAGAGTCTTTTTTCTCCATAGCAGCGCATAAAATAACTCATAGAAAAATACGAAAAATCGAACACACACGACTCGTTCGGAAATTATGTTATACACATAACAACCACGTCTATTAAGATTTACGTGCGGATTATTTTTCCCGATTATATATTGTTAATTTTCCCCGGCACGTTCTTAGAAGATGTCTCGACCAATTACTTAATTAGCCATTTATACTTATACCATAATTTATTCTATATTACTATTAAAGATAAAAATACATAAATTAATTAATTATTTTTTTCTCGCCTTATTGGATATAAAATCATGTCGGTGAGGCACGGCGGTGCAAGGAGGGAGAGGGGCCCACGACGGCCGGGCTTCGGTGGGCCCAGTCCGCCGTAAGCCGTGGACTTTCTTGGCGCCTCTTGTACTTTCGACATCACCTCGCCAAATTTTTTTTTATTAATTAATTAAAATAAATTTTTGGGGGGAAAAATACAAAAAACGAAATTAGCAAGTCAAATTTGCTTCGATCGCGATTTTGGTGGACTTTGCGAGGCCAGTCGGTGGATTTTGACCTCGTGGGCTTTGACTCTGGTACCTGAGTCTCTCTCTTTTTCTATATTATTTTTTAATTTTTTTTGACTCTTGAGCGATGTGAATTGGGTAATCAAATGGCAACGAGTCAATGCATTCCACATGATAATCAAACGGCAGCGAGTCTATTTGCACATTTCTCGATTGTCGTTTTATGTTGGTACTAAATTCACGTCGCAAGCAGTAATCCATACGCTGCAATTGAAGGTGATCGATCAATCGGCCCCAACTCGGGCTCAGGAGGTTGGAAACGCAAATAGACTGGCTCGGACAATATGCTTACGCGAGAAAAACGGGGCGCGTCCACTTGGGATCCTGACCCGACGGGACTCGATCATTTATCGGTAAATTCTATATTCCTCGACAGATTGGAGTAATCGTACAGAGCCGTCCCGGCTCGGGGTCACCCCGATAGTATCCTCTAGATGTGAATTGCACATGACTTGCAAAATACGATAGTATATTGGGTCCGTGTCCCCGAAAAAAAGGGAGTTGGAAGGGACCATTTCGAGAGACAAGAATTTTGGACACAAACATGCAAGAAGTTAGAACCGCAATGAATGCTTTAGATCAGAACCTTATCAAGAGCCACGTGAGTATTGGCTTAGATTTCGCCAATTTCATTAAATTCGAATTTGCATGAATAACCGGCTTAATCTATAAGCTAAGGTGCTTTATTATGACATTAGTTCCGAGAAAGTAACTCGAAAAATCGGATTCATCGAGCAAAATAAAACGGCAACCCTTATTTGAATTACAGTGGTGCGTCGTTTGGAACACTTTAGATAGTGTTAAATCCCATCCCCTATTTTTATCCATGTCGTTTGTTTTAGAGTTAAACTTGTCAAAAAGTAATCCCTTGTGAGTTTTAAAAATTTATATATGGATGACTCGTAGCTTAAAAAGAAGAAGATTATACATTTAAGGATGGAAGCAATCCGTGCAGACAAACAAACAGCTCAATTTACATGCATCTCCTGAAGGGTATTTGGACCGATAAAATCCGTACGAATCAATTGAATTGCATATGGAATGAACGTGAGAATTATTACCGACACAAAAAAAAAGGAACAAGAGACTGTGTCGGTGAGTAATATACGTCAAATCGAAACCAATCCTATGAAAAAGTAAAGCACGTCTCCTCCTCTTTCCGTTTTGGAGTGATTTTACTTAGCTTAACTAATCCAATCACTTCATCAGCCGTCGGATCGCAACCGCCGCATCGCATCCGTCGATCTGGTCTCCGATCAGACGGTGAAAAGCGGCGATTTAACCCGCCGGGTCAACAGTGTCAGACTCATTTTCCACCATCTTCTACCCGACGCATCTGGACTTTCTCCACCCTCTTTTGACTCTCTAACCCCCTCCCCCCAGCTTCGTTTTCTCTCTCCTCTATTATATTTAAATTATGATTTCGGGACTTGAAAAGGACTTAAAAAAAAAAAGAAAAAAAAATATAATTACACGAACGATCTTAAATTTTATCCTAATATATAATGTGATTTTTGAACTTTTAATTTATTCAACGTGAGATCACTAAACTTTTAGTAGATATTTAATCCAGTTCCTAAATTATCATATCCCCAGATTCAATGTGGTCTCATAATTATCTATTCTCCAAGGATTAAATCGAATACGTACGAAAAAAAAATTAGGAATCATATTAAATATTTTAAAAAGCTCAGGAATCGTGTTGCGCGCTCGGGTTAAAGTTCAGGGACCACAAAGTTCGGGAATTATTTGCGTCGTTTTCCAAAGAAGAAAAACAAAGAAAGAAAAAACACGCACCGTGCTCATCTGACAGTGACTCAATTCCTTCCGCGGCATTATCTGCGTCGTGTGTACATCGCGGACACTTCGCCCCCCCCGCCCCCGTTCACATACGCGTCGACAAGAGAACGATCCCCAACCAAGTCCCCCTTCCTTCTCTCTCTCTCTCTCTCTCTCCGTTTCGCGCACTCTGCAAGCTGAACTCGCCGAGCTCGGAGCTCCAGCCCCGACCGTCCCCCCCGCCACCTCCGCCGGAGCTGCTTCCTCCTCCTCCTCCGGCGACCGCCGCTTCGGATCTGCATCGCCGCGGGCTCCCCTCCTTCCGGTCGCCGGAGCTCGCCCCCTCTCGGCGGGTTCTTGCATGTGCCGTCGCGTGGTTCGGGTTCCGCTTCCCCGGCGAGCGCTGTTTCGATCGCGAGCGGTCGGGGCGATGTTCTCGCGTCGCGGCGGTTCGAGCGGGTGATGCGGGCCGGGGGCTGCGGTTCTAGCTGAAGCGAGAGGCGTCTGGGGAGGGGCGGGTAGAGAGAGAGAGAGAGAGACAGAGCGAGCGCGGCATGGGATCTGGGAACGGGTTCTATCCGGTCGGGGAGCTGGATGTGGAGGCGAAGTGGCTGATCGATCCCAAGCACCTCTTCGTCGGGCCGAAGATCGGGGAAGGCGCGCACGCCAAAGTCTACGAGGGCAAGTAAGTCAACGGCCGGCTCGCCCGGGGGCCTGTTGATTGGTCGGAAGTTTGCTTCGATTCGAGTTGCGGTTTGAGCCGAGGAGGCGCGCGTTCGCGCGGCGCTCTGCCTTTTGTCTTGTTCGTGGTTTTTGTTTTGACTTAGGATTGTGTTGTTTGGGATTAGGTACAAGAACCAGACGGTTGCTGTCAAGATTGTCCACAGGGGCGATACTCCCGAAGAGGTTGCCAAGAGAGAGGCGAGGTTCGCGAGGGAGGTTGCTATGTTGTCCAGAGTCCAGCACAAGAATTTAGTCAAGGTTAGTTGATCTAGGGGCGGGCGGAACAGTGGGTGCAATTACGCCGTTCTGGGTGTGTTTTCGATGCGATTCGAACGAATTGGTTGGGGCCGTAGTCCTTCACGGTTTGATGTGTTGAGGAAGTTGCTCTTTTGTTGCCAGTTTATTGGAGCTTGTAAGCATCCCGCCATGGTTATAGTCACTGAGCTACTACTGGGGGGAACGCTGCGGAAATACTTGCTCAACATGCGACCCAACTGCTTGGACATGGGCGTGGCAGTCGGTTTTGCGCTTGATATTGCCCGCGCAATGGAGTGCTTGCACTCGCATGGCATCATACATCGTGATTTGAAACCTGGTACAGTTTTAATAAATGTTTTTCCCCCTTTGCTCGAGTTATTCAAGGAGTGTTACTAGTTCTGTACTTGATATTTGCCAGTTTAATTGTTTCATCGTGATGCTCTTCTATTAAGTTTATGGTTTCCTTTTTCTAGAGAGAGAAATCTGTGCTCTATAATTCTTGCCTGGCAAAATTTAGAAAGGATTTTCATTGTCATGCCTAATGACATCCGGCTGTTGTTTCATCAATGATCCTGGATCAATTTATTGACTTCTAATTCTCCTTTTCCAGAGAACTTGATCTTAACTGCAGATCACAAAACAGTTAAACTTGCGGATTTTGGCTTAGCTAGAGAAGAGTCTCTGACTGAGATGATGACGGCTGAAACCGGAACATATCGTTGGATGGCCCCAGAAGTAAGTTTTTGAAACATTTGGAACTGCTTTTCTGTAATCCTTTTCCCGCTTCATCTTTGGTTGTGTATTCATATGGACCGACGGATGTTGACAGCTTTACAGCACGGTCACTTTGAGACATGGAGAGAAGAAGCACTACAATAACAAGGTGGATGCCTACAGCTTTGCAATTGTGTTATGGGAGCTGATCCATAACAAGGTTCCTTTCGAAGGCATGTCTAATCTCCAGGCAGCATATGCAGCTGCTTTTAAGGTAATTTTGTCTGTAAACCATATGTTGAGATACCACTAGTTATTCATTATTAAGTTACCTTGTGCGAGAAATTGATTGTCCCCAGAAACTGGTTTCCTCCTGGGGAAGTAAAAAATATGGCGAAGGACAGATCAGGCTTTTGATTTTGAAATTTTGTCTTCATCATATCTCAAAAGTTAGTAGTGCCCAATTGATACATGACCTTGATTGTACCTTGAAGTTTGAGCTGAAAGGCTGTTGGTGCGAAGCTCTTAATTTAGATTTTTCTGGAGATAATGAAATAGAAGCAAGCAGCAGCAGTAATTGCGGTGGTACAGTTTTCTGGATGCATCATTAATTGTGTCCATTCGATCGATAATCTTGTTAATTATATGCATGAGAAACTACGGTTACTAATGCATGCGACCATGATATATTGAAGATTCAAATATATGAAACCGAAAAGATGAATATTGAGGAGAAGTACATGCTTGAGGATATGTGCCATTAACATTGCTCAATTTAGACAAATCTTCCATTTGTGCAGCAGGTAATTCAGTAATTGAGAAAACTGGGAGATGAAGGGGGTGGTCGCTTTCTTTAGGAAATTCACGGGCCGAGAAGATCGATCCAATTTTAAAACTTTTGCTTTTGTTAATCTATTTTTGCAATTCATGCTTTACCGACCCAGGTGCTTCTACTTGCAAGTACTCTTTGGGCCAACTTTATTGGACTTTCAATTCCCTTTTAGTTCATTACCATAATGCTAGATAATCATTCATAATCGGATTGTTGGGGCAATTATCCCTTTCTATGAGGTTTACTTTGTCATACATGTAATGATGCTAGTAGAAACTATTTTGAAGTCCGCTTTTCCCTATTCTAGATTGCCCTGCTATAAGTTGCAGCTAGAAATGTCATCCAATGTTTTTGTTGTGCCATTTCAGAATGTACGTCCCAGCGTAGATAACCTGCCAGAGGACCTAGCTTGTATCGTATCGTCATGTTGGAAAGAGGATCCGAATGATCGGCCCAACTTCAGTCAGATAATTCAGATGCTCCTTCACTATCTTTCAACGATTTCCTTACCGGAGCCAGTTATTCCCCAGCGCATTTTCACCTCGAAAAATTCCGTACTACCTCCGGAGTCTCCAGGTACAAGCGCTCTAATGGCTAATACAAGGGAGAACTCAGGCGGCACCCCGACAAGCGAGATGGAGCCCAGGTGGAGGAGCTTCTTCTTCTGTTTTAACCAATGTTACTGATTCCCTGGAACGGTTATATATACATGAAGTTATTCAGATTCCTCTCTAGGTTAGAGCAATAAATCTTAGCCCCAAAGAGGTTTATCTAGGTAAACATCAGTTAATTAGGAAGTCGCGGTTATACCTGATATTTATCGCATGGCACACTGGCCGCTCCCTAGAAATTTGACCTAGTTTGGTTCCAAAATGACAAAAAGCAGAGGGAACTTGTAATTTTGGAGGTGGGGGTTGCTGTGATGTAGTTTTGTCATTTGTAAAAACATAAGGTTCATCCAAAGGCCTTTACTCCTATTCTGCTTGTAATAATGGAACAATCTCCTATTGGTACTTCCCTAACTTTTTACGGATTTTGCTAGTATGAAATGCCATGTCTGACTAGATTCGATTCATGGAGGTCGAGTTTTGATCTATCACACTCGGCCTGACATTCAAATGCCGAGGTATAATGGGTTGATCCTCTCCCGTTCTCGTCCAAATTATCAACATTGCGCGTTTTGCATCTCGCTTACCGGTTCCAGATACCATTGGATCATCAGGGGGGAAATGTCGTTGGCCACCATATCCCTGCTCACTGTTCCGCCATTCATGAACATTGGACGTTCAAGTGAACCAAACCCTCTCCGATCGAAAGTGCTGTGCTATGTAATTGTCCAGTCGCTGCACTTGTCTTCTGGCGAAAGAGACGATATCTTGATCTGAGAGGCAGATAGAGAGAATCTCGGTGTTTTTGAGTTATCTGTGGTTTCCTTACGATGCTACATAGGAAGCACGAGTGCGATGACTTCGGACCGGAATGGTGTCACTGGGCGGCGAAGCAACTCATCCATGTCCTGTCATACTTCGGTTGGACTCGGGCGTTTTCCGTTGGCTGTTGGGCTTAGTTTGATCCAAAACGCACGCCAGAAAAACAGGAAAGTTCAAAAGAAAAACCGCCGTTGCCGGGGATCGAACCCGGGTCACCCGCGTGACAGGCGGGAATACTCACCACTATACTACAACGACTTTCTTGGTTGAATCATGCTCCCGTATTATATAATATAAAATTTACGTATGGAATCAATATTTTATTTGCGATCACTTGTATTTAGCTAGGAGAGTTTCGATTTGGCCTCTCCATTCAAAATTCCAAAATGTCATCACATAACTGCAAAAAAACAAAAAAAATTGTGAAAAGTACTAATAGTTTGTCGATTAAACTTTAACGGGTGATCGAAAAATGCATGCATGGCTCACACTGGGTCTAACATTCTATCGCTAAAATTAGATAAAATTGGTTCCTCTCACTAAAAATGCTAAACTATACTTGGCAGCATTATATGTTAGTTGGATTTGGATGTCAGATGACTTTACATTGTACGTTTATGGTCACGTTGTATTCCACACTGAATGCAAATAACGTGAATTCATATGCAACGTCAAATCGGACAAGTCTTGTATAAGGATTATCATATTCAACAGATAATGTCATGTGCAATGGATTCATTTTGAATTTTTTTCGTTTCGTCTTATCGCTTGTCTCAATAAAAGAAGTTATTGCGTTCGTCTGTGCACACATTTCTAGATGGATCAAGTGTGCTCTTAAGCAGATGTAGTCCACATCTATTGTACACGACACGAACTCATATGAACCGTCAGATTGGGTAAGCCTCGTGTTCGGCTTATCTTATCAAACGGTGTATGTCATATGCACTAGATTCATTGTGGATTTCTTTAGTTTCCTCTTACCGCTTGTCTCAATAAAAGAAGTTCTCGCATTCTATGAATAGGAGATTTAAAAGTAGACAAAACAAGTCCCTCTCGTCATCAGTGAAATTCAACATTAAGTTATACTTGGCAGGTGCTTGCATTTGTGTATAAGTTGAATTAAGAGATCGCTTAGAATTTATATGGCATGTTTGTACACACGTTTTTAGATGGAACGAGTGTGCTCTCTAGCAGATATAGTCCACATCTAATGCATATGATGCAAACTCATATGCACTATCGGATCAAATAAGTCTCGTATAAGGCTTATCTTATCCAAGGATGTATGTCATATGCACTAGATTCATTCTAGATTCTTTTAGTTTCCTCTTATGGCTTGTCTCAATAAAAGAAATTCTTGCATTCTATAGCTATGAGATCTAAAAGTAGACAACCAGTCCCTCTCACCATCGATGACAGAAAAACTACGAGTTATATTTGGCGGGTGCCTGAATTGCATATTACTTGAATCTAGCTATGACTCGGACTTCATATGGCATGTTTTGCGTGCACATTTCCGGATGGAACGAGCGCTCCTAAGCTGTCTTCGTCTAAAGCATGCGAGGCAAATTCATATGCACCGTCGAATCGGATAAGCCTCACGTTGGACTCACCTGATCCAATGACACATACAACAAAACTATAAGCTATACTTGGAAGGTGCTTGCATGGTATATTACTTAATTCTAGATATTGCTCGGATTTCATATGACATGTTTTGCACACACATTTCCAGATGGAACGAGTGCGCTCCTGATCCATCCAATGCACATGAGGCAAATTCACATGCACCATCGAGCCAGATAAGCCCCACATTGGATTCACCTAATCCAACATCGCATGTAACAAAACTATAAGCTCCACTTGGCAGGTGCCTGCATGGTATATCACTCAAACTAGATATTGCTCGGGCTTTACATGGCATGTAAGCGTGCACATTTCCAGATGGAAACAAGCGTGCTCCTGAGCTGTCTCCATCCGACACATGCGAGGCCAATTCATATCCACCGTCAAATCGGATAAGTTTTATGTTGAATCCACCGTGATCCAATGGCGCATGCACCAAAACTGTAAGCTATAATTGGAAAGTGCCTGCATGGTATATCATTGGAATCTAAATATAGCTCGAGCTTTACATGGCATATTTTACGTCCACATTTCCAAATGGGAAACCAGTGCACTCCCGAGCTATTTCCATCCAATGCATGCAAGGCCAAATCATATCCACCGTCGAATCAGATAAGTTTTATGCTGAATGCACTTGATCCAACGGTACATGCAGCAAAACTATAAGCTATAATTGGAATGCGCCTGCATGGTATATCATTGGAATCTAAATACAACTCGGGTTTTACATGGCATGTTTTACGCTCACATTTCCAAACGGGAAACTAGCGCATTCCCGAGTTGTCTCTTTCCAATGCATGCGAGGCCAAATCATATCCACCGTCGAATCGGGTAAATTTTATGTTGAATCCACTCGATCCAACAACGCATGCAACAAAACTATAAGCTATAATTGGAAATCGCCTACATGGTATATCACTGGAATCTAAATACAGCTTGGGCTTTACATGGTATGTTTTCCGCCCACATTTTCAAATGGGAAACCAGCGCGTTCCCGAGCTGTCTCTATCCAACGCATGCGAGGCCAAATCATATCCACCGTCAAATCAGATAATTTTTGTGCTGAATCCACTCAATCCAACGGCATATGTAACAAAACTATAAGCTATGATTGGAAAATGCTTGCATGGTATATCACTGGAATCCATATATAACTCGGGCTTTACATGGCATGTTTTACGCCCACATTTCCAAATGGGAAACCAGCGCGTTCCCGAGCTGTCTCCAACCGATCCATGCGAGGCCAGTTCACATCCACCGTCGAATCGGATAATTTTTGTGCTGAATCCACCTGATCCAACGGCGCATGCAACAAAACTATAAGCTATGATTGGAAAATGCTTGCATGGTATATCACTGGAATCCATATATAACTCGGGCTTTACATGGCATGTTTTACGCCCACATTTCCAAATGGGAAACCAGCGCGTTCCCGAGCTGTCTCTATCCAACGCATGCGAGGCCAAATCATATCCACCGTCAAATCAGATAAGTTTTGTGTTGAATCCACTCAATCCAACGGCACATGCAACAAAACTATAAACTATAAGTGGAAAGCGTGTGCATGGTATATCACTGGAATCCATATATAACTCGGGCTTTACATGGCATGTTTTACGCCCACATTTCCAAATGGGAAACCAGCGCGTTCCCGAGCTGTCTCCAACCGATCCATGCGAGGCCAGTTCACATCCACCGTCGAATCGGATAAGTTTTGTGCCGAATCCACCTGATCCGACGGCGCGTGTGCACATGCACAGTAATCAATCTAAATTTTTTCTCTGTCCCCCCCTTATCCAAGGGCCTCTGTCGTCGTAAAAAAAAAAAGAACGCAGAAGGTCAAAATCATCGACGACACCTTTTTCACGACTACTGCTGCCAACGGTCACACGGTCGCAACCGCGTAAGCGAACAGTGAAAAGGGCAAAAACCAAGAAGACAAAGATTTCCCCTCCGTAAAAAAAAAGAAAACAAAAAGAAAAACAACAAACAATAAAAAAAAAAAGAAGAAGAGAGAGAGAACAAGACGTTCGGTCCTGTCTAAGCTTGGTCAGCAAGTAAGCCAAATTGCTTGTTAGTGCTTCCGTCCGAGGCTAGGGGGGGCCCCTCCCGAACGAGACCGTCAGCTTCGTTTGGCAGGTTCCGTCAACTCCCCGGGGGGGGCCCCCCGACCACCCCGAGCCTCTCCGCCGCTGCCTCGTGAGCGGGAAGATGCCTCATCCGAAGCTGCGGCTCGGGAGTCCGAGCCTCTCGCGGCGCAGTTTCCCGCCCAATATATAAACACACGCGCACACGCTCACTCCTTCTCTTTCTCACTGTCTCCCTCTCTCTCCTCTCGCTCTCGCTGTCTCTCTCTCTCTCTCTGCGAACGTGAAGGGGGTCTGCTTCTCGGTGCGTCGCGCTCTCCTCTGCTTCGAACGAGCCGCTTCTTCTGCTTCTTCTTCTTCTTCTTCGCAGCAGGAGCAGCAGCAGCAGCATCATCGTCTGTTTCTTTCCTTCACACCCATGGCGAGGTAACTCCGATGGGTCGAAGCGATATTCTCCGCGCGCATTGTTTTGGGGGTTTTTTCTTGCTCTGTTTTTCTCTCGCTTTTCGCCCCCCTCCCCCCCCCCCCCCCCCCGCGTTTTCTCTCGGAACTCCACGCGTACCCTCTTCTCCGTCTTCTTCTCTGCTGCTACTGTAGCTCCTTCTCCCGTGTTTCGATCGATGCGGTTTGCTCTCCCTCTCTCTCTCTCGCCTCCCCCCAAACAGTTGGAACCGAGGCTATGGGGGGGGAAGAAAGGCGTGGGAAACGGAGGCTTGGAGTGTTGGGGTTTTGTAGCGATTGTGGAGGGGGTTCTTGCGTTTGTTCCGAGTGATGGTTGGGTTTTCTGTTCTTGGTTTTTAAAAGGGGGGGGGGGGGGGGGTGGAATATCTATCATGAAAGAGCGAGTTACGTTCGTTCGTTCGTTCGTTCGTTCGTTCGTTCGAAGTGCGACAGCACATGAACGATTAAAGGATGGTGCGTGAGGAATGGCGGAAAGTTACGATTTTGTGAAGTAAGAGAATGAAGAAATGTGGGGTGGGGGGCAATCTTTCTATGGGAAGCGTAGACCTTGTAGTATATCCGAGCATCTCTTGCAAGATTGATTGTGTCGGTACTCTTGTTTATTTGCCTCGACTCTTTGGCAGCATGTTCATATTGTAATGTTGTTATAGCTTATAACTACTTCTAGCAAGAGAAAAGCGATAAAATTTCTCACTAACTGTAGTAGCGTTGTTATGCAATGATAACTCCTCACGTCTTCTTGAGCACATTGGATCTTTCTAAGCTGTTGTTCAATCTCTCTTGCTGCTAATATTCTTGCTGAAGTTTACCGTCCCACTCGCACTACGACATTAGCTTATGGCCTCTACTTGTTTGCAGGAGTTGGCTTGTCGATGGCAGATCAATAGCAAAGAAAGTGAAAAATGCTACCTTGTCCACTACTTCTCAAATCAAAGACTATGGTGCAAATCGTGAATGCCCAAATTGTCATTATCTTATTGATAACAGTGATGTAAGTTTGCGATGCTACTTGTAGGATTGTCTTGTCTGATCAATGCACTACGCCAATTCAAATAGATACTTATCTGGTATTATATCTCCTCACCTAACTGGATGTGTAGATTCATCATGTTAGATGTAGGGTACACTCTGCTTCAAGAAAGTGAAATCTCTTCCTTTTCTTCTCATATTTTTGGCAATTAACATAGGAGGCAACACGTGTTACTGACCTTGAAGGTTCATGTTAAGTAATTCTAGTCATACTGCTCTACCTTGCATTGTTTGTTTCTCCGCGACTTTTCTTTTTTTCAATTTTACTTGGGAATGTCCAGCTTAACTGATGTTTTAGCAAAACTTCTGCTCTGCAGGTTTTGCCCGAATGGCCTGGCCTACCAGCTGGGGTAAAATTTGATCCTTCTGATGGTGAGCTCTTGGAACACTTGGCAGAAAAATGTGGCGTTGGAAACTCAAAACAGCACGTGTTGATTGATGAATTTATTCCCACACTTGAGTGGAATGAAGGAATTTGTCATACTCATCCTGAAAATCTTCCTGGTGAGGAGTGCTCTTTTTTTGGGATTTTATGGCCTTTTCTACATCTTGCATATAAGTCATCGATGACTAATTTTTGAACTGTAGTCCTTAAAGCAATTGAAGAGATTGCTTGTCAAAGGATAAGGCAAACGTTTTGCAGCTAAGTATACATTATATAGCTCATTATAGTTTGAGTGCTGAAGCATATTCTTGATTACAGTACACCTGTCTTGTGCAGAAAAGAGATGTTATTGTCTTAATCATGAGTTGAAAAGCGTCGCTGTTAATTGTGTAGGATAAACCTTGTTATCCCATTGGCAACCTAATATCTTTAATCATGATTTACATAAAATTCGAATTACCTTATAAAACTCTCACTCGAGATCATAATATGTGCATTCTGGTGTGTTCAGTGCCCAGAGTCAGGTAATTAGTTAGGGTCACGCACTTGACTTGACAATGTCCTACTTTTCTAATTATGTATGCCGCACCCATCGCTTCATATGAAATGGAATAGGCGCGTCGTCAGAAGCTGCATTCTGGATCTCTAATGACTAATAATCTGCTGATTCCTTGGTGTATTTCATTTTTCAGGTGTCAAGAAAGATGGAAGAAGTGTCCATTTCTTTCACAGGACCATGAATGCTTACGCCACTGGACAACGTAAGCGTCGTAAAATTCATGATCAGCATAATCTGAACAGAGAAGATGTTCGCTGGCACAAGACTGGTAGGACCAAACCTGTTGCCATTGATGGAGTTCATGAAGGATGGCAGAAAATAATGGTTCTTTACAAAAGTTCAAAGAAGGGGTCTAAGCCTATTAAATCCAATTGGGTGATGCATCAGTATCATTTGGGTGCGGACAAGGAGGAGAAGGATGGGGAATATGTGGTCTCCAAGATCTTCTATCAACAACCCAAGGAGACTGACAAGAATAACAAGAATGATGAGGAGAATGACGAAAGTATGTATATTGATGATGAGGATGTAAAGACTCTTCGAACTAATCCGAAGACCCCTAAACCAAATCCTCCTAATCCAGATCAAAAAGAAAAATTTGTTCTGCTTGATGATGTCGCTGAGGAAGATATGAAGTCATCTGATCAGGTTTGTTGAAATTGTCATTTCATTGTGTGAATCGTGTAGCGACGTATGATTAAAATGTTGCTGCCTGCTGGAATTTTTGTGAGGGGGAATTAAAAGAGGTGCAAATAATTGAATACTTGTTTTTTCAAAATTCTTATTGAATGGTGTATAGGATAACAGCATAACCGTAGCATCGTTGTCTGTGGTCATGGTCCTCATCAATTTAGCCACATGAGAAAGTTATTTCTTTCCTCGGTGAGTTCTAGAAATGCGAAAATTTTGGTGGCAGAGGTACCTTGAATATCTTGCATATCCCCAGAGAATTCAGACTTGAATACTTCTTGAAAGACATAAAATTTGTGCATTTTTTCTGCAGAAGCTTATGTGATCTTTTCTGGGCGTTGTTGATCAGGATACGTTTAAGGATATTCAGCTTGAGGATGATGAGCCATGTGCTGAATGGTTGGCTGGTGAATCTCAGCCTCTGGACGACTTTGATTTCGGTTACATTGATGGGCCTTTTGCATGCCAAGAGTATGTCGAATCACATTCTCACTTCAATGATAGAGGAGGCAATCTCGTACCTCCAACTACGTCACTTCCGGAGATAAATGAGGTGGTAACCGACGAAATTGAAACCTATGGGACCTCTGAACTAGCGAAGCTAGATTTTGATTCTCCACCAGATTTCCTGCATCCTGTAAGTCGCAAATTCTAGATTGACCAAATTTGCATTAGCGCACAATCTTCCTGATATGATGCATTTCATAAGTGCCGAGTTTTTCAACATTACCGGGCAATCATTTATGTATCTCTCATGCACACTGCAGGAGTTGCCATTTGGTTCCCAAGAGAGCATATTTCAATGGTTAGGACGCATATGAAGAGATATGATGAAGTACAAACCTGCGAATTGTTGCGAGTTCCCAATTTTGCACGCTTGAACTGGCTCAACCCACCACTAGAAGTATCATTTGGTGGACCAATGTCTAAGCAATTACTTTGAGGGAACATTGATGCTTGGCCCTTCCCATCATGAAATTGGACCTAGATATTATTTGATATGCGTCACTTCCATAGCACGTCGAATGTGTCACAGCAAGCAAAATGTTTCACCTCCTTAGCGAGCTGAAAGTCGGCTTTTTCACCGCTTCTTACCCAGTTCCTATCTTCAGGGAACCTACATCATTCTACTCCGTTCGGGCGGTTGATGTACTTAATTTGTGTCTATATGATGTCTTTTGTGGCTGTTTTGTGGTAATTCAATTCTTGGTCGTTCGGTGCCTGTAAATGTAAAGAACATCGGATTTATATTTTGGATGTTATTCTGCAAAATGTGTTTATGAATCTGTTAATTTACTCCATGCGCCATGGCGAAGGAAATAATTCAGTGCTATCTTAAACTCTGCCGATGCTCCATCATTTTAAACTGGGCGTGACTGCCAGAATGGTAACTTTTGCATGCAGACCATGTCTCTTCATTAAAGGTGAGAGATTTTCCAGGTATCGGTGCAAAATGAATTAGACTAGCGAGTAGCGACATTGGATTGAAGTTTTGTTGAGATTCAGATAGTTTGCCGAAGTCGAGCATGAGAACCCCTCGTTTATTCTTCTTGCATTATTACTTGTGGAAAAGACATTATGTTGAGCATAATGTCTGGATTTTATTTCATAGCGGTGAATATAGCTTGGCCATGGCATCACAAGAAGACTGCGGGACAGGGTAGAAACAGGACACTCCGCAGGAAAACTTTTGCATTACCTTTAGCAATATTGGTGCTTTTACGGTATGTTTTGACCATTTTTTTGAGCTTAAGTTGCAAGAAACTGTAAATTTCTGTGTGTATGAATCGTGGTCGGTGGCTTTTCTCCACTAGGAAGAGAAAGATGCTTGGAACATGCATGACTTTCGGTCGCTTCGGCATAGCCAATTTTGGGCCAAGTTTACCTTAATGAGCTCCCAAAACCTTCTGGTTTAGTATAGTGAAAAATAAATCTTTCTGCATAGTTGGACTTACGGTTCAAATTATCTTTTAATTCTCGACCAGAGCCACCCCCCAACTTAGAATTAAGAGTAAGGCTTAAGAATTGCTAGCTGCTACACATCTAAGTCGGTGAATAAACCTAATGAGTATTTTTTTGGGTCGAGAAATTAATAATTTTCTTGTACTTCAACATATGTTAAAAAAGAGAAAAATAGCTGACCAATGATTTGATGGAAGGGGTCGATGATGGCAGAGGTTGGGGGGGCATCAAAGAGAAGAATATCCAAGTGAAGATGTTAAGAAATCCAGATCGTACTTCATTTTATCCATAATGACCTAATGAGTTCAGCTTCCACATGCACTATGTCCTCTCGGAAAGAGGCAAAATTCTAGGTTGGAGAAGCGCGCAATAATGGTGTGCTAAGCTAAGCTAAGTCAATGGGTGTTGGGTACTGAGTCAGCCAAGGCATCTTTTGCTGAAACGAATTATTTTTATCCCTCCTGTAAGTGGAGATAATGAAATGATGATCAGGAATATTAGGATAGGATATTCTTCTTATGTCAAATGAATTGGACTGAGCTTGGCGTCATTTGATTGGGACCGAAGTGCATGTAGATCACTTAAAGTTTGATCAAACCCAGAAGCAAAATGATGATAGCAGTATTGTGCAACAAATAGATAATCGAAAAAAAAACTAAGTTAATGAGATGAGATTTGTTAGGAAAACTAGACTTAGATCCAAGCCATTTCCAAGAACAGATTAGATATTTTGAAAGGTTGATTGCCAAGGACAATCAATCACTGGGATCTTGTAGTAGTGATTTGAGCTATCCAAATCAATGTTATTGCTTTGATTAATGAAAAGCGGCTGAATATAGTTTTCAACCCCAATAAAGATCTTGAACTTTAAAATGGTTTTCGCAAGATGATTGACTCAGTTTATTCTTCTTATAGACCACGTTTGGCATAAAACTTCCACCTGCACTTGAGGCTGTCCAAGATACTCACTCAACCCCTAGTGGTTCCACCTAATCTGGCATATTCCAGTCTCTCTGCTTCAAGACATCCTTTAAAAACTCAACTTCGTTGGCACAAATTTAAGCTTACCATCCCCTTCTTATCCATCTGCAACTTCGAAAAATCACACAAATTGGTTGCTCAGGTTACTAGAAGGTTATCTCATTGTTTTCATAGCAGAAGAGAGAATAGAAAGGAAGAAAGAATGCGATTTGGGCAACTATAGTCACATTTGACAGATTTATGAAAAATAAAGGGTTCAGAACAATTCCATCATGAAGACATCTACATTAACTGTGCCATTGGGCTGTGCCTTCAGCCTCCATTCACTTTCTTCTCTCAAAAGTGACATTTCTTTTCATTTTTCTGTCCTCCCTTTAAATTATTGCTTGCACTTGCCCTAAATTGGCTGTGATTGACACTCTTAAGGACTGCATATATGATAGCCTTGTTGACAGAACCACTCAAATTCCGAGTCTCTTACTGCAAGAGAAACACCAGGAAAGGGTTCTTCCTGGTCAGCCATGCCTACCTTAAAGAGAAAGTGAGCTTTCACGCTCAAATGAATGTGTTGACCATTTGAATCGGTGTTAAACAGCGAACCCACATTGCATATGAAGTTTACAATAACAGCCTGTCATCCAACCATAAGTCTCATCAAATCAAACTAAATACAACATGTACGAGGACACCAGATGAAGAAACAAGAAGAGAAATGGAGATAATACACTACTCTGCAATAAGAATGTAAAGAATCAATCAGCATCCGATCGATGGAAATCCTCTGATGATACAAAAATAGATTTAGATTAGACTAACACAACAAAATTCCCAGCAGAGAAAACGGTGGGAAAAATGTCGAATGAACTACCCTATGTTATAGACAGGAGAGATCGAGCAATACCTACAAGAGGTGGTATGCAATCTCGCAAGGGTCAGGACAAACTATCTCCTCCTCCAGCATCAATATCCAAAACCCCAAAGCACGATATGCCCCAAATCCAGCACCCAAAGAACTCGAGTCCCAAAACGAATGTAAAATGAGTCAATCCACAAAGTTTCGAGGACATGCAAGTTTCTTCAAATGCCTCACTGAAGAATGATGCATAAGGTTTAGGAGGTGCATCGGATGCTGGTATTAAATCCCCATGATATTAATTGACAATCTTCCTCGGGAGCTATTTTCTTGTGGCCAAAGCATCTTCACCTTCCAAACTTGCCGACAAAAGCAAAAGCCACCTCATATCCGAAGAAAGTTACTCAGCCACTCTCTCTCTTGCAGTTCCCTGGCAGCAAAAACTTGTACTTCTCTGCATTGTTTAACAAATAGGCCGGAAGATGAACAGCTGAGTGAGAATGAGGGACAGGCCCCATCTTCCCAATTATCTCTTTAAATGTGTATTCTTCAGGAAGCATGTCAAATAAATCAGCCCCTTTGCAGATGACGTCCTGAACCCTTGTCGGGTCTAAATAATGAGAAAATCGGACCCGGTCACAGTGGCTGTAGGCTTTCATCTTGAATATGAACTCACTTATGTGGCGAAAGCAGAAGCTACAATGCCAACCCGAATCGGACAACAAGTAGTCAGTCTGTCTATAGTGCGCATATCTCGTATTACCAGATTGATACCTGTGGACCGATGCTCTCCAGCTTTCGTTATCTACAAAGAACTCAAACGAGTACAGATAATTCCTCAGCTGCAAATGAAGAATAGGTGGGATGTCATCACACCACCTGAGAAGATTAATCGTGTGCGCACTAGGTATCTCGTCCACGTCTGACATAATCAACAAGTCATCATCCTCAATGCCAGCAATCCTAAGAAGCTGGTCTAGAGCGACTCTCTGATAAGCCTCTTCAACAAATGGGTTCTCTCCTTTTCTAAACCTTCCTCCAATTGTACCATACGTCAGCCGAGACTCAACAAACTTAAACTTGTGTCGATTTTTTTTAAAAAGCAACCTCTTGGGTAGTCCAGTAAATGTCGAGTTTGACTCGAGCAGTACAAACTGTGTTATGTAAGGATACAATTCCTTCCACCGAACGGTCAGAATGTCGACCTCATTACTGAACAGAACCGCATCATAGACCCGCCTCGGGAACTCACGGATTCGCCATCCATGAAGTTTGCAAAGAGTTCCCATCGACACGTTCTCGTGATAATAATGCGGAATTACATGAAAAGGCTTCGGAGGGGATTCCCATAGGGGTCTAAGGAAATAGGAAATCTTCTGTCCGTGCAAGTACATGCCGCAAATCCCTACTGGGACGAAAACAAATAGAAATAGGTATGTCTTCATATCCAGCCCTCGAAGAACACAGCGAAGTCTCGACATACCCAAAGCTGCGCGAGTTGCCTGCTGCATAGTAAGGGACAAAACTTTCTAAGATATCGAGTCAAAATGCAGGGGAAGAAATACAAACTGAGGCACCAATCTTCCAGTTGAGAGAGAAACCACGATTGAAGGAGTCTAATGCGAACATCGAAAGAATCAAAGGCTAACAACATGAGCATCAAATTTCAAAAAAAATCAAGCAATAAAAAGTGAATGGTTCGGTACATCTCCAAGAAATCGTAACATTCTGAAAGTTGGCTTATTCAGAAGATAATCATATCATTCAAAAGAGCAACTTCTCTAATGTCTAAATTGATTACAGCACGAGCAATCCTAGGTAAACAGAGGCAATGAAGCAGAATTCCAGAATCCAAAAAGCAAACCCTTTGCAATGCAGATTTGAAAGCACAAGATTACGCCCAATTTCAACGGCCAAAAGAAGTAGAAAATTCATAATCTTCCCCAGCATTGTCACCCGACGCTAAAAATGGCAAAATCCCACCTTTCTTTTCTGCTCGAAAAAGGGGGGAATTCATTGTCTCCCCCAGCACGAAGCAAGAAAACTTTTTTCCCGGAAAAGAAAACATAAACAGAGGCAAGAAAACCATCAATAGACACTGCCATTTCTAGGGTTCAAAATTTTTTTAATTTTTTTACATAAAAAATAAAAAAAAAACTGGTAGGTTACGCAAGAACAGCATATGGCACAGTTCCAAATTTCTCCACACTCGCAAGAAAAAGAAAAAAAAATTGAAAAAATCGGACTTTCCCATCATCCCGAACTCAGAAAAAGCAACAAGAAGGCAGACGAGATTTCCTGGAATTTCCAGACTATTCATTCCGATGATGGAAGGAAACAACAAACCGCTTCCCTTCTTTTCCGTGTTGGCAAGGGACATGTTAGAAAAAGAGAGAAAAGGGAAGGGCGACAAAAACAGAGAGAGAGAGAGAGAGAGAGAGAGAGAGAAGAGAGAAGAGGAAGAATTACCTCGCCACAAACGTCTTCGCAGATATCATCAGTCTTCTTGGAACTGTAATACCCATCGGACGTCATGAGAAGCCGACGAGGATCTCAAGGGACGGAAACAGACAGGAATGCCGCCCCCCCCCCCCCCCCCCCCCCAGTCCCCCCTCCCCCCCTCTCCGGCGACGCCTCCGGCGGATCGTCGGAGACCCAGATCAAGAAACCTATAGATAACGACAGAGGACGAATGGGGGAGGGACCCGAAGATCGCCGGAGGGAGTATATCGGCGGCGAAGGCGATGGCTCGTCGCGGGGGTTGGTTGCGTTCTCTCTCTCTCTCTTCTCACTGTCTTCGTGGGGGGTTGTGTATGTGATTTTATTGGAAAGAAAGGGAGAAGAGAATGAGAACCTGTAACGTCAATTATAGCCGTTTGGTGGTTCTCTCTCTCTCTCTCTCTCTCTCTCTCTCTCGCTCTTTCACCAGATAAACGCCCTCTCTTCCAAATATTGGCCCGGTGGACACCCGTACACAGAAGAGAGAGGAGAGAGAGTGTGCATAAACTAGCAAAAAAAGATCCGATTTTTACTTTTTTGTGTACCAAAAAGAAATGTGTTAGCTTCGTCTACGGAACAAAAAAGGGTGGTTTACAAAGGACGTAACCGGTCGATTCGATGGATTAGAAGGGTCGGTTTGACGGGGTCGAACAGATATCGAAGCGGTCGCTGAGCCGTGCATTTTTAGGCCGAGCTTTGGGGCTGCTCGGCCCGTTCGATCCGATTTTGCCTGGAGCTCCACCCGTTCGTTCGATCTTCGTTGTGTCTTGCATCGTGTTTGCCAATCTTCGTAATTCGACGTCGTGATTTCATTGTTTGTAATTCGACATTTGATTGATGTCGAAATGCATCCGTTGCTATTGTTAAAAATATAGATACAACGTGTGTTTCTTGGATTTATGTGCCTGAACTTTGGTCTGTTTCTTGATTAAACCCTATATCCTTTATAGTTAAAGCTTCTAAAACAGGAGTCGACACGGCTTGCCAAAAAAGAAAGCGCGTGATGCATCATAACATAGCAATCGCAATGCGGTAAAAATGGAAAGCAAAATGCCTTTTCTTTATTTGTTTTGGCGACAGCAGACATATCCATGGAGGTAATATACGCTCGAAATGAAACGAAACGACGCGTGATGTTAAATAATTGATAATTTCTTTCCAATTAAGAAATGCGATGCTTAAATATAATCATCGCCCACTATACAATCGAAATGAAATAACGTGAATTTTCATTCTTATTTTTATTTTTTATTTTTTTTTTGGTAACCGAGGTGTCCGGGCCAGCTTGCGCGCACCTCGACTATTCCTCGGGGGAGATTAGCACATCAACCCACCGCCATGCCCACTTAAATCACAAGTGTCAAATTTCGTGAATCGAACTCGACCAAATGCACTTTAACCACATAATTCCAAGATGCCTAACTAACTGAGAATACCCGTGAGTAGGCATGAATTTTCGTTCTTAGTTGCGCGATAATATGAACTTCATCAATCAAGAATCCTTCTCTATCATATAACACAAGATTCGATGGCTTTTACCTAGAGCACTTTCTTCGCACGTGGGATTGACCGAATTGAAGGGGGGTCAAGGTCGGTCTCGGCAAGCATTGCATTTCATGCGCACTCGAAATATCCGACTCTCTCGACGAACGTAACGTCTCCGTCCAACCCGACAGTCACTTGGGATTCACACGATCCTGCGGGTCGAAATCATTGGCCTTATCCGAGCCGGGTTGCATGCGAATGGATTGCTGTGGACCTTGACTTCACAGTCCTTTTCCGACGGTCGAGATCTCCCCGCGAGGTCGCTTGCATCGTAGGTTGACACCACCGGATTAAAATAAAATAAAATGTCAGCCGTAGCGAAGGGCCACGTGCCTCCGCGGGTAGTTGCCGGAAAAAAAAAAAGAAAAAAAAAAGGGACATCGCTAACGGAGGAAGCCGCTTCTTCGGCTCGCTAAAACCTCGGACGCCGCGCGAAATTACGATCGGGCCCTCCCCCTTGCCCCCTTCCCGAGGGCGGTTTCGCCGTGGGCATAATGGGGATTTCGCCCGGACCGGGCGCTACGTGGTTCGGGGGGTCCTGTCCCCCCACGCGCCGCTTGACCGGGTCAGGGACCACCGCTTTACCTTTCGTGGTCCGGTCCCGATTTCCACAAACTCCGTAGGAAAAAAGCTTTTTCGCTTTTTTTCTAAAAATAGGAAAATTTAAAAAAAATAAGAATTTGTTTTGTAAAGTCGTGCACTTATAATATCTCACCTTTTCAAGCACCTTCCTTTTTCCATCGGGCAAAAGGAAAATGAAAATATAAATTAAAAGCGAAAAAACAAGACTCCCCGAAAGTCGCTTTTTTATTATTATTTTGGGATTATAATACAAAAATACGCTTTTGGTCGCGTAGTTATAGTCTACAGAAAGTCATTATTATTTTTTAATAAAAGAGAAAAAGGGAGAAGAACCTTATGTCGATTAAATGGTCTACCGAATTATCATCTCCCTTCGCATTCTCCCCGATCGAGCTGTTGCCACGCCGGTCAACGGCGGTCAAGGCGATAGCCCCGCGAACTAGAAAACCAGTCTCGGTACCGCATCAGGTAGACCCGAGTACCTTACCGGTTAATTACATCACGAAACACCGCCCGCCTCGGGAGGAAAGTTAAAATAACGAAAATTAGGTAAAGGGTAGGGGGAGTGCGGAATATTATCCTTATAGTCTTTCGACTCTTCGCGACTAAGAAATCCTGAGAAGACGGAGAATTATTCTTCTTCTGTGTTCCTACCGAAGCCTTGTGCCATCTGTTCCCGAGCATGACTTCCCATTTCATACACATTTTTATATTCACCATAATAAATAAATAAATAATTAATTATAATTAATTTCACTTGCTGAGTGTGAGATGGCTTCGATAGCTAAGTCCACATGTGGAAGGGGGAATCTTCGCTTCGGAGATCATCCGTTTGCATGGACCAAGCAGAAGGGACCCTGAAATTAATTTATTTTTATTTTTATTTAATAAACACGAATAGTATTTTCATTATTTTATTTTTTTAATGCGTCTGATTCACCGATGTGATGGTATTAGGAATCTATGCCACTTGCCACGCAAAAGCCCGATTTTTTTTAATGTTTTGCGAATTTGTTTTCACATGCATGAATGAGCGCGCAAAAAAAAATAAAAAATAAAAAAAACAAAAATGCCGACAAGCCATGTCAGCGCAGAATGCTATATTGCGCGGGACCGCCCACGATTGCTCTAAATAAGGGCTCCGTTTGTTTCGCGATAAACGAGTGATTTGAAATTTTATTTTTAAAATAATCGTTTATATTACTTGAACTAATTAGTTAACAAAAAATATTTTCATCATCGACAATAATTTATCTCTAAACGTTTTCGTGAATAACGAATATATTTTAACATTCATTTTCCTAAGTGATACGGGTGATATTTTTGGGAAATTATTTTCAATTCATTCATTTTTCCATGATACCGTCGGAATGATCTGAATTCACGACCCCTTCCCACGACTGTGTAAAATTCTATGAAATCATTGCCCCCGATCTCTTAAACGAGGGCGTGGTTTGATATTTTAGATATTTCGACAGACTATGCATTCTCTTTTCCTTTTCGGGCTTTTTTTCTTTTTTTTTTTGGCACCGAATATTAAATCACGGCGTCTTTGTCTTTTTCTCGCCCAAGTTATCGAAATTTGCTAGCTCCGATGCCTAATGCATCACTGGCCAATCTTCCATTCGTGTCCATGCTTTCCATACGAGAAAACGGTGTCGGATAGACGACAAAAAAAAATGCAACGCTTGTCAAATTAGGAAGTAGCCCTTATTGTCTGAGTCCGACGTACTTTTTGTTCATTTATTTATTTATTACTTTCTATTTTCTTATTTATTTATTTATATTTTTGGAGGACCGAAGTATTCTAAGTGAGGGGGGGAGGATTGTGTGCGGGCTACGACAGCTGCGTGTGTCCACATCACTCCAACTTTGGAAGGATTGGTGGACGTTCGTAGCAACTTCCTAGAAAATTCTTGCTGTGTGTGGGGGGGGAAAACAAAGAGGGGGGTTCCTTTTTTTGTCCATCGCGAAAATTTACGGAGCATATTCTCTCATGCTTCAATGCAAAAATGCCATTTTCACAAATTCACAAACACGCACGAAAAAAGGAGGAAAAAAAGTCGACAAAAATATCCCGAATTATGCCCGCAATGATACATTTATCCCGAATTTTTTTTCTTGCAATATCAAAGATCACAAACTCGTACACGTGCGACGCATTTGCCCCTTTATCAAGGCTCCGTCATATGACTGTACCGGTCAAAATATCATCGTTTTTATTTCACTTAAGCCACGTAGGCGCCATGCCGTGTCAATGTCGTTTGCCTTTCGTCATCCATGTAGGCAGGTTTTTAGCAGTGCTCGTTGACGGAATTTTGATGAATGGTAAATGTATCACGCGGGTACAAGTTTGAGAGTTTCCACGTCACTTGTCATGGTGGACATAGTTTGATATTTTTTGCGGTTTTTTTTTCAAAAGAAGAAGAAGAAGAAGAAGAAGAGATAAACGAACACAAAAAAAAAAGGATAAAAAAATCGTTGTTTAAGGTTTTCTTTTTGTAAATATGTTCTCTTTTTTTTTATTAGCATTCTAAATCATTATCTTTTTATTTCTAAAATGTCTTCAATTTACAAATTACCATATCCACGAGCCCACTTGTAATTCGAAACTTTGGTTAGATGTTCACAAGTTCCAATCTTAAAATTTCGGGAGAAAGCGTGTAAACCGTTTGAGAATTTTCCTTTGATTTTTTTTTTTTGTTTCTAATAAGCGACTGCTTAAGAAGAGAATGACACGGAAGAAAAGTGGGGTTTTTTTTTAATTGCCGAAGCAAAACGTGAAATTCCCGAAATTTAAAGATATTTGATATCGAATGACGATGCTATCTCAAATCACAACCGTAAAGGACTAGAGTTAAAAGTCTAAGCACGACAGGATGCTCACCTGACGTTGAATATAGAAAAACAATTATTTTGCGAGTTAATTACCGCCTCGCAAAATTTAGGTGTCAACATTAATACCTTGGAAAATCTCAAACTAGTATACTTGCAAACTAATTTTTTGACTACCAAAGCCCCCGCTGGTACACCTGTGATGATTTTAGCCTCCATTAATTTCCGTTAAATTTTGCCGTCGAATTTCTGAGTTAAATGGCATATGACAGCTAACAAGTGTACCATTTCGGGGTTTTATCATCCGTTTGTCACATGTATACTGGTTTGCGATTTTTTCGTGGTATTAATCTAATTTAATAAAGGGTAAATTTGTCACGAATGTATTAGTTTAGGATTTTTGGTGGTCAAAAAATTAGTTTGGGATAAATTTGTCATGGATGTATAGGTTTGGAGTTTTTCATGGTATTAACAGTTAATTCTTATAACCCACGTGTATTTAAATACCTTATTTTTGGTCCAAACATGTAAATACCTTTTTTTTGGGGGGTCGAACATGTAAATACATTTGCTTAGTTACCATGGTTCGGTACACATGAAAGGAAAGCATACGTGTCTTTGGTCAAGTCATTCCACACCCGATTCGCCACGACAACGAGAGTTAGGTGTGAAGAGAATTACAGAATCTCCCAATTTCATGGTGATGTTGTAGCATCACTTTTTGGAAAATTGAAAGCACCTTTTCTTCCGGCGCAAGGGAAAAAGAAAAGGGACGAGTCGAATATATTCTCTTGTAGCGGTCCACATTTCATTCAAAGTGGAAAAGCCAACGAAAGAAAAAGTTTAATTAACGTGTTGATTACTAAGCTCGATTAGCATAAGCTGTGGAAAAGTAGATCCGCCAATGTGATCACAGGCTATCTTATTATGGATATCTTCGAGATACCCTTTTACATATCGAAAAATAGTCCGCACGAAATCCATTTTTTTTTTCTTGGACCCTTTTCGGGTGCGACGAAACTAGCTAAAATAGCTTAAGGCCAAACAAACGATTGGTAATTTCGAGAACGCCGCTCATTTCGACGCCGGAAAGCAATTCGCAGAGAATGATACGATTTTGAAGGTTCGGAGCATCAACTAAACGGATGATGCAAACAATTACAGTGGTGCATTGAGAAGAGCGGCGTGCGTGAATTGCGGGCATTTCGTCCTATAAAATCGACAGAAAAAATGCGCAGGGGCTTTATTGTTTATTATGAAGATTCGAATGATGCTGTGAACTAAAGTACGAACTTAGGTGGGGATCTAGACATTAGATTGTTGTGGCTCGGCTTTTGGGGTGTCGTCCCAATCGCACGCCCAATTTGGATTTGGACGGTGGGGCTTCGCTTCGGCCCATTTCGCGATTCCGTAGCGTAGCCACGTGTTGCCTTCGCTTGCAATGTTCGGAACACTTAAGAATTCTCCCTTAGAATTTTCTTTTCTCACAGTGCACGACCCACTGGGACCATTGTGTCGGAACGACAAGGGATAACGACATATATAGTTCCTGATTTTTGACCTAATTGAGTTATCGATTCTAAACTTTTAATTTATTCAATGGAATCCTGAACTTTGCCCAAATGGTAAATGTTCAATTTACTCCTCAGACCGTGTGAAAGTATCAAATGTCATGCACACATCAATTCAAATTCAAAGACAAACATTAAACGTTTTCATATAATTTGGAGACTAAATTGGATATGTATCGAAAACTAAAAGACCCGATCGATATTATACATGAGGCTTAAACTTTAAGGATTACACTATACGTCGGACCAAAGTTCAGGAACTACGTCAGCCGTTTCTCCCGACATCATCGTATGTTTTACGAGGCATGCCACTCGTTCGCCGAAAAATTCATGTGGGCCTGGCGTGGGCCACAATGGAGTTAGGGGGAGGGGGTCCGAGATCTTCAGTCCCGTCAGGTCAGGCCCAGCAGAAACTTGGTTCTGGTTCTGTCCATCTCCCGGAGGAGGAGGAGCTTCGACTTCCGATTTCCGAACCAAGTTCGAGAGCAGAGACGGCGGGACGGGAGGGAGACGATACGTACGGCCTCGCTCCTCCTCCGCCTTCACGGCGACCATGCTACGAAACCCATTCGCGGGCTTGCCTTGAATCTTTGAACCTTTGAACCCTCGAACGGAGCCGCCTCTTGCTCGCGGCTGCTCAGCCATGGCGAAACCGCTGTCTCTTACCCACAGGTCCCTCCTCTTCCTCCGCCCCATCGCGTCTCCCGCCCCCTCGCTCTCCGTCCCCAACGCCGCCGCCGCTGCCGCCCTCGCTCTCTCGTCATCCCCGGTCCACTCCGCGCTGGCCCATTTCTTCTCCACCACCTCCACCCCCTACCCTCTCCAGTACGACCTCATCGTCAACCGCCCGGCTCAGTCCTCGCTCGCCAGGACTCGCCCCCGCCTCGGCGGGCCCGGCGGACCCGAGACCTCCCCCGAGCCGGACGGCCCCGAGAAGCCCGACGTCGACGTCGAGCTCGGGTTCGACGACTGGGCCGACCGGAAGCTTGCGCCGGAGGCGGATTCCGGGATGGACAAGTCCAAGAGGAAGTACTACAGCAAGAGGTTGAAGAGGATGTACGGGTCCGATTCGGAGGACGAGAGGAGGCGGAGTGAGGCGGAGGGTGGGTTCGTGGAGTTGAGGCCTGAGGTGGTGGAGTTCCACAGGTTGCACAAGAGAGAGGAGGAGCTGTACTTCCACGATGCGTTCGCTTATCCTTGGGAGAAGGACAAGCATTACAAGATGGTGTATCAGCTGGAGAAGAAGTATTTCCCCGAGCATTGCCTCGATAAGGCGTTCCTCGAGCCTGGAGAGAGCGGCGGGCCGAGGAGAAATGCGGGCGCGAAGGGGAAGAAGGATGAGAGGAGAGCGAATGTGGGTGAGGAAAAGATGGAGGATAAGAGGTTGGTGTTCTTTGAGGGGGAGAAGAAGGATGGTGATGATTTGGCGAGGGACGAGGGGAAGAAGGATGTGATGGAGAAGAAGGTGGAGGAGTTCTTCAAGTGTTTGAAGAAAGTTCCCAGTGAGAAGAATGTGGCGAGTGATGGTGAGCCTTACGTTTTGACTAGGAGTACTGAGCTTCCTCCAATATGGGATGGGCCTTACGGGACAGTGGTTCTGATAAACAAACCCAAAGGTGGGTCTTTAACTGATTGACTGAATTGAGTGTCTAAACGTGTGAGTGAAACCTGTGCCTATACTATTTCAGAGACTAACATATATTGGTAACCAAAATGAGATTTTTGGTTTAATATTCATGACATCGTTGACTCCTACGTGCACATATAGTGCCCGGTGATAGCTGAACTCTGAAGTGGCTTCTTTTATTTTGTGCGCCGGTTTGATGTAGCAGCAAGCGTCCTCTTTTCTTTACGTGCAAACTGAAAATGGATGAGTTGTGTCAACGCAAGTCCTTAAGCAATTCCCAAAAGATTCTCAGGCGCAAGAGAAGATGTGTAAAATAGCGGGTAGAGATGTATAAAGTTCAAGATGTTACATTGACTGACTGTAGGCCTGTGGCCTCTCTTTTTAGAGAATTTTTTTTTTTAATGTTTGCACTGCATTTATCACATTATCAGTGCTGGGCTAAATGTTTTAGCAAATTTTGTTTATTTGGAGAAGCAATTCCTGCTACTTCAGGATTAGATTCATAGTCTGTATACGCTGATGAAGAAGTATTCTAACTGAATAATTAATTAGCTCGGCAAGAGGATTTTTCTGTATTCATTTGTTTAGATAGTTCAGTTGTTGCACATTGGGTTTGCGTCGATTCTGGGCAATCATTGTTACAATTATTGTTTGCAATACAGGCTGGACTTCATTCACAGTTTGTGGGAAGCTTCGACGTCTGGTCAAAGTAAAGAAGGTGCCTGCTTGTTACTGATGCTGGATCTAGGTGATTCCTAGAAGATCAGCTAACTTTTCCTTCTCTACTCTTCTATTTCTGATATAGGTTGGGCATGCTGGTACTCTTGATCCTATGGCAACTGGATTGTTGATTGTATGCGTGGGTAAAGCTACCAAGCTAGTGGAAACGTAAGATTTGAACCTTCTTCTGTCTAGCTTTTTTTGAAAGAAGTTCATTCCAGCTCCATAAGTTTTAATGCTCTGGTCTAGATTTTTATGGTCTTTTTAGTATTTTGTATGTATGATTTGTTAGTGAATCTTGTCATGGTTAATTGCAATGCGAAAACTTGGTCAGAACTTTTCAAACATGGTTGTTGCAGATATCAGGGTATGGTAAAGGGTTATAGCGGGGTTTTCCGTTTAGGAGAGGCCACATCAACTTTGGATGCTGATTCACCAGTATGAATATTCTCTCTAACAAAGACCTGTCATTTTCATGTTAATGTACTATACTCATGTTTAAGAATGCACAGCTAAGTGCCTTTAACGAGTTCAATAGTTTTTTGTTTTGTCTTACTTCGTTGTGGTACTTAATGCGGGTGATTGAATGTGGGGAAAAAGGATTTTTTATGACCATGCCATCCTTTTGCACCCATCCTTTTTTGGGGTTGATGGTAGACAACTAACATTGTACTTCAACTCATTTATTAGATCATCCAGCGTGAGCCTTGGGAGCACATCAAAGATGAAGATATAAAGAAAACTGCGGCATCCTTTCTTGGAGAGATCTGGCAAGTCCCACCAATGTTTTCGGCCATAAAAGTAAGTGAAAAATTAACTATCTCCTCTTCAGATCTAGTAGTTGGACGAATAATGGTGCTTTTGTTTAAACATGCATTTAGGATTGTTTGTTCATATTCATTGATAACTGGAAATCTTCTGGTGCAGTCTTTGATGAAAATGGTACACATAACGTAGTGGTTGTGGTGATTGACAATGTACCTCATATTCAGTCATTGATATAGTTCTCTGCATACTATTAAGTGTATGCATTGGCATGTCGATGAAGTTGTTTTATTGTTCTTGATTTGGATAGGTTGGTGGAGAAAAAATGTACGAGAAAGCAAGAAGAGGAGAAACTGTTGAACTTTCACCGAGAAGGATTTCGATACTCAAATTTGACATTGAGCGCAGCCTGGAGGACAGGTTTTGCTCTTTCTTTTTTTAATCTTTTGAAGCAATTCCACTTATCGGCTTTTGAAGTTTGAAAGCATTTTGGATGTGTTTTCACTCTCATGTTAATCTAGCATCTTGACGTCCACAATCGACTGTTAACAGTGAACAAGAAAGCTAGAAATCATGCTAATTTTGTGCCTATCATGTAAAGTTTTTGTTTGGACAGTCTAATGTGCGGATTTACTGAGCTTTTTCTAAGATGCCAAAAGATTGCATGAGATGGTCACTTTTACAAAGTTATCCTGAAATGAAGAAAGTGCCCCATGTAAGACCGACTAAATTTCTAAAACTTTGTCAAAGTTATATCCTCTTAAATGGCAAAAGTAGTTCAGACCAAAAAAAAGGGCAAAAGTAGTCAGTGGAAGGCTGGAAGCTCATTCCTTGTTAAGCTTAAAAAATACTGAAGATTAACAATGTGATCATACATTTTAAGATTGAGTTCACAAATTAAATTGAACAATTATTCTCTGCACCTGGACTTCTCTGATTGAACTCCATATCTGCTACCTGGGCTTCTTCTTTCTCCCACAGGAGGATGTTTCTTCTGATCTGATGCTTAAAATGGCTAGAAACTGCTTGCTTGGAATGGGAGTCATAGGGCTCAAATATGACGATTTTCACCACTCTCTCCCTCGCTCTCTCACAAGAGCTATAGTCTTAACTTGGTTCTAGTGTTCATGGAGTTTTTCAGCAAAATGTTTCAGTTTCTGAACATTAATTTCCTGGGAAAGGCGTAGCTGCATGACTATGACCTTTTATGGTTTTAAATTGGGAGAAGTGCAGAAACAAGACTTAAGGTTATGGCAGTTGGTTAATTAAAAACTTAATGTTTTAAAAAAGCTACAATCAGATCTCAAGTTTGCCATTCGTGGAAATCAGAAATGACACATGGCTGATGATCAGATAGTCAACAAGGGAGCCACATGAGATTTCCAACACCTGAATTCCAATGGTGGCAAATTTGAGACCTGATTGTGGCTTTTTTAAAACCTTAAGTCCTCAATTGACCAAAATAAAGCTTTCAGTCCTCAACTGACCAACGGCCATAAAGTTAATGCCGTTTCGGCCGTGCGGGGGTTCCCTGAGTTACCAAAAAAAAAAATTAAAAAAAAATTATGTAATGAGGCCTTCTTTTTCATTTTCCTTTCTTTGCAGACAAAATTTGATTTTCAGGGTAACGTGTTCAAAAGGGACTTACATCCGTTCTCTGTGTGCCGATTTTGGGAAGACCCTCGGAAGGTAATAACCAAGTCTCTGAACTCTATAGTCCTTTGATGAATCACGATTGAAATGGAATTTATTGCAACTTTCCTTTTTAACAACAGTGTTTAAAATGTTTGCTGCTTTATTATCTTGAAATTGCAGCTGCGCTCATTTAACTGCTTTGAGGAGAGACTCAATAGGTAAAGTTCCCGTCTGTGCTTCTTTTGAGTGTGGATTTAATCCATGTTTAAATCTTTTCTCCAAGTAATCGAGGGGTTGAGCATGAGAGGCGGTATGATATCTCAATAACCATCGGATTCGCAATCTTTGGGTGGGGGGTTTTTCTTTCTTCACTTTGGAGGAGGGGCATGCAGTCTGCAGCAATTAGCGATGTTGTGCTTATTTCTTGTTCATGTCATTGGATACCGTCAGTAGATTAACCACCTTTCCCCCTCTCATACACGGAAATACAATCTTGAAAAAGGGGGATTACAATTATGGACCTCCTCCTTCTATCTGCCCAATGAAGAGTAGCAATGCTATGAAAAATCCACCTTGTTACTTACTGCTACCTATCGACTTTTCTTTGATGAGAAGAGAACCAATGTGTTGAGATGAATCTTGTTCTTCTCTTGCCCAGGGCAATATTCTGCTGATGATGCTTGGGACTTCAAGGATTTAGAAGAGGCCATTACCAAGGGATACTTTTAGATTCTTCATTTCCTCCATGGAAGATATGCAAGTCGTCAAGAACCGAATCTCCTGGAAATGAGGAAGCTTGTGTTATGTGATCGTTTTTGCCTTGTTCTCGCAGTCACCATATCTATGCGTGTGCAGTTTCATAGAGGGTTTATTTTTTTGCCGGTATAGGGGAGATTGTAGGCCATTTATTAAAGTTGTAAAATAACATACATAGTAATTTGTTTTCTCCAAGTCACCATATCTTTTTTGTCCTGTTTTTTTCTGACTAGAAGAAGTTACTTACGGTGCGTTTGGTAACCATTCTGTTCTTAGAAATAATTTCTGCTCAGAAATGATTTATTTATTTATTCTGTTTCTGGAAATAATTTCTAGGCATTTGAAGGCGTTTGGTAATGATCCAAAATTTCCATACCTGGAATAGAAAAAGAACAGAAATGTGTTTGGTAACTGCACAAAATTTCTTTCTATTAATAATATTTTTAAATATTTAAATATTTTGTTTTCTTCTTCTTCTTGGCCATGGCCGGCGAGGGTAAGGGTCTCGCGACCTGGGTGAGGGCGGCCCTCGCCCAGGCTGCGAGAGGTGAGGGTGGCCCTTGCCGGCCATTTCTAGCCCTCGAGGCTCATGGCCTGGGCGAGGGCCTCCCTTGCCGGATTCGGCGAGGGTGACCCTTGCCCAGGCCGTGAGGGTCCAGCAATCGCCCTTGCCAGCGAGGAGGACCCTTGTCTGTGGTCGGTCGCTGACGACCCGGCTATGGCCAAGAAGAAGAACAGGAAAAAAGGATAGGAAGGAAGAAATAGAAAAAAAAAAATCTTTTCTATTTCTCATTCTTGTTCCTAGAATCAAGAAGTAATTTTTTTTTACTTCTTGATTATGGGAATAAATTTGTGCAAATTTGTGCTCGGGAACAAAAAATTTACCAAACGGATTTCTTTTCCAAAACCGATTTTGGGAACAAAAGAATAAAATTAGTTACTATTTGGCCAGTTACCAAACGCATTCTTATTCTTGTCCTAACAATCAAAAGTCCTATCGTCTTGGGGGTTGCTTGGTCCGATAGAGTTTCATATGCCAATGATTTTGTTTTTTAATTGTTTTGACTCATCCCACTTTTAGGGCACATCTATTTTTTGATAAAAATATATTAGATAGCTTTTCATTGACTAAACATTTCCAGAAAACCCATTTTTTCATATGAACGGGGTATGCGGGCATACGACTAATCTTCCCTTGTTCCAGGGTAATCATTGGAGATATAGGGATCTGTGCGCTCGATGGTTTCCAGAGAAAATTTGCAATTGTGGTGTTTCAATCTTTAACTTAATCGAAGTTATCATTTAAACACTTTATTAGAATTATGTTTCCGTCGATTGTTATCATAATTCTCTCTTACCTTGCAATCCTCAAACAAGTTTTTTGGTTAAAGATGATATTTATCCTTTCCTCTTTTAGAAAGAAAAGGAGGGTTCGAACAAAATCGATGGAAGGGAAGGAATCCGAGTGAATGGAAAGGAAAAAACAAGAGGGATTTCAACTTAACGGTATTTGGAGAAGATCGAACTTTTAAAAAGTTCAAAATTCAAAAAGCACAAGAAGGAATAAATCAATAAAAAGATCAATACGAACAGATCAAAAAGCTTGTGGTTTCTATGTGTCAATACGAGTGCGAATTACATTTATCGAATGCCATAAATGCCGACGCAATTTATGGAGTTACGAAAAAATAATATAAATTATTTACAAATCATCACGTCAGTTTTCGAATTCCGTTTTGCCGAAAATAGCAGTTCCCGTTGATTAACAAACAAATCCCGTTAAGATCTTGTCGGTCCACATCACGCGCGATGATCAACGACGACAGGCGATGGACGGTCACGTCATCAGCAACCCAAAAGTCGGTCGCCGCACCGAAACGGAACCCCTTCCTCGGGCCCCACACGCCCCCCGAATCCGACGGCCACGATTTCGCCGGGGAGCGCGGGCCCGTTTGCCGAGCTGGGCCGCGTCAGGGTGTCGGAACCGTTCTGTGATGGGCCGGTTCAGGACCATGGGCCTGTTCAAGGCCCACAACGGCCCGGTGGCCAGCTCTAACCCCCCGATACTCAGAAATACCTTCAATCCACGAATTTTTCCGTTTTTTTTTTTTTAATTTTTTTTTCCTCATCTTCTTGAAACACCAAAACCACGGGCTACCCCCTCTGATATTTTATCGTTCAGCTAACACCGAAGAAGAAGAAGAAGGAGAAGAAGAAAACTCGGAAATTTTCCGATTCCTTTTTATTTTTCCCGAAAATCATTATTTATTATCATCATTATTATTGTTTTTTAATTTTTAATTTTCGCCCCCTCCTCCGATAAACCGATGAGCAATGCCGCAAGAGCCCCCGACGCGATCGAAACGAAACCGAAGGAGGTTTTCGGAAGCCGGAATTCCTGCTGATGATTTGAGTAATTAATATCGCGCGAGATCCTGTCGTGTTCTTCCGGTTTGTTTGTTTTTGGTTCGGTTTTTTTTTTTTTTTTTTGGGTTTCCTCCTCCGGGTTCGAGCGGTCAACGACAAAAAAAGAAACGATGTCGTCGCCGGCAATTTCCGGGATACTGGAGAGCTCGAAGGAGCTCGATCGGCTGAAGAAGGACCAGGAGGACGTGCTCGGGGAAATCAACAAAATGCACAAGAAGCTTCAAACTAGTAAGTTTCTGGATGAAGAACAAACTGGGATTGCCATCGTTTTTTCTGTTCTTTTTTCCTTTTTTTTTTTTGTGCTGATCCTCGATCGAATCGAGTGTCGAAGTTTAGTACCCTTTGAGCTGCTGCTGCTTGTTCTTGTTTTGCCATTTTTAACAAATAGTGAACTGCCCGTGAATTTCTTTTCTTTTCTTTTTTTTTTTGAAAAAGATTTCTTCAAATGGTGTTTTTTTGATGGTTTATGGAAGTGAGCTGGTCCTGAACTGAATGTATTCGACTGGATTGACTTGCGATCGCACGTCGGCAAGTGTGTGAGAGGGTTAGGAAGTAGCAAGAGAGTGCGTGGGAGTCGAGAATGGGGGCCGATGCTGCTTGCGGATGCTTAAATTGGGATCGAGTCGCTTCGCGCGGACCCTGTGTAATTTGCCCGAGTTTAAACGGGTTGATTTAAGTAAACTTTTTGATGGTGGTAGAGCTGGAAGCCTTGCTGGGTGTAAGGGATTGAGTGCGATATGAATCTTCGATTAACTGTTCGCGTCGCTTGTGTGATCTTTGCTGAATGATCGCTGAATCTGGCCATCTCGTAGTCTCCGAAGGTGGGAGCTGAGGTTATTATCGAGGATAGTTTGATTCGGTCAGGAAGAAGCGACACGAGCGAGCTGAAATGATTCCAAGAAAATCTAGCTGAGTCTAGAAAAAATTGTGGAGGAAATACCAACTTGGTTGAAGTTGGTCCTACACTTGTGTCCAGGCCGGTGACATCCTATGGTGTCAATTTTTTGTTTAATTTATCAGACTCTCATAATGTAGAATTTAAAACAGTTAGTAAGCATTTAACCAGAAGCATAGCATTTTTGAACAGTTATTGACAAGTTGGTATTTAGAGGTAGAATTGAAATAGCAAAAGCTTCACTGCGCAGTTAATTTACATTTGACTAAATTAGGTGTCCTTCCGGGATGGTCAGAGAGGCGAGAAAGTAGAAACCCTTATGATCGAATGCCTTTTGGTGGCGACGTTGTGATTTGATTCCTTTGCCACCCACCCTTTCTAAAGTACTTTCTTTCGATGATATGACTTTATCTTCTGCATGGTGATACAGCCCCTGAGATGGTGGAGAAGACTGGTGATAACTCTCTGTTAAGGTTGAGATCCTTGTATACTCGTGCTAAAGAGCTTTCAGATCGTGAAGTGACGTATGGTTCTCTCTTGGTTGATTCTATCATGATGACTTTCTTTAAGCCACATCTCATAACATGTTTACTTGCGCAATGAGATCATTTCACTTCCTCATGAGTGTATGATGGCTGCAGGGTTTCTAACACGTTGCTGACTCAACTGGATGCACTGCTACCATCTGGACCTCCTGGGCAACCACGAAGGAAAATAGGTTTTTGTTATCTAAAAAAGTTGTAGTCTTTGCATAGGAAAATCTGCTTTTGAAAATACTTGCGGTTATGCTTCTTACATTACACATAGAATTTGTTTCTATTTCACCAAAACGTTGATATGGTAGGTTAGCCTATTGGTACATCTCCTGCCGAGTTAATGACTTATCTATCCAAATTCAACCATTTAAAATGTCTCGAGTGAATTTTTATGGTTGGGAAGCAACTCTTCAGACAAGTAGGCGAGTCAGATAGCTGCGTCTAACTCAGCCAGGCTGTTTCAACACCATCTTGTTTATATGTGTAAATCTTGCTTACTTAATCAGCGTCTGTTGTCCACCATTCACCAAGGTGAGGACTTTGATGCTGGATAGATGAGGAGAGATCCGGATATGAAATCCAGAAAATTTATCTTTAACCAACCGATCTTCTTGAATTTGATATATGTATGGTAGAGAACATTAGCCAGGAAGGTCCCTACCCCTAGCAAACCTTGGTTTGGATCACTGATTCTATATATGGAACTTTTGCAATCTGGAACCGAAGGGAATCAACTTGACTTTCACTTATGTTTTAACTACATATTCAGTACTTTATATTCCAAGACATGCTAGTGCTCCTACTTTGCGGCAGAGTTTTTAAACTACTTGCTATTTAGCACACCAGTCGAAGTTGCTACTTGCTGTAGATATTTCAAATAGCCATGCCTGTGACTGTGGGACAAGCCAATGAACAAGATCCATTGCCACAGACTCTTTATTGATTAAATCGCTAGCTAGAGAAATCGTTCTGTTTCGACTTCTTGTTGACGCTGTTAGCTCTGTGCAACCTGCAGATAGTAATGATCAGAAGCGAAAACGGATGAAGAGTGATTCGGAAATCTCTAGGATGTCTTCTTCCAGAAGCCAACTTGAGTTTTATGCTAGTTTGAAAGGCCAACAGGTGGGTATCATTTTCTAATTCTTGTTCCTTAAAAAAGGCATGAGCTCGCTGTCTTGTCTTTGTAGATCTTTCGTTTGGGGTGTTTAAATCTCTGATCTGGCGTGATTGATAATTTGTCATAAATAGGTGGCGGCTAGGGTTAAAGAAGATGCTGATAAGGATGAGTGGTTCATTGTGAAAGTGACAAACTTTGACCGAGAGACAAAAGAGTAAGTTTTTACATAATCAAGAGCAAGTTATTCATTTTGGTATTGTATTCTGCCCTGTGTTTAATCCTGATATTTAATCTTTTTAACATTCAAGTACAATGCTCATTCAAGGTTGTCAACTTGCAGATGCTCATTTATTTGAAAGAAATTTATTATAACAGAACAGACTGTGGTTCATCTCTTTTTCTTATGTGTATTATTTAATGTAAAGTTAATTGTTTGGTGTTTGTCTACACAGTTTTCAAGTGCAAATAGCATATGAACCTTGATTTTGTTATACTCCTTTCCTTGAGCAGTAGGACTGCTAGTAGTCCATGCCCCTTGAAGCAATTTTCTTTTTATCATCCGCCAGAGAGATTTTCCTTGTCTCTGAGCCTCAATAATAGCACGAGAATATTTTCTTACATACTCTGCATGTTGAATTTGTCGAGCCTCTTTGGTTTGATCAATGCCAGTTTGGTGGATGCAAAAAGTTGCTTCCTGATTCCGTTGTTATGCATCTTTCATTATCTTTTACCAATATTAGTTGAACCCTCTAGTGATGGTGATACGACGATTCTCAATATTCACCACTGAAATATAGTTTCTCTTTAGTTGACAGGTGCACCATTCACATACTTGTCCATATGATAGAGATACGATAAGAAATTAGACGTGTATCTAAATTTTCTCAATGTTCACCGCTGAACCATGATTCTCGTTAGGTGACAGGTGCACCGTTCACATACATGTGCATATGATTTTCTACTTTATGCTGCATAACTGCATTTTCCATCTTGAGATGGCCATAGAGGAACACCTTGAACTCATTAACAAAGCGGACATTATCATGATTATGTAAGGTCGTTGCATCCTAGTAATCCCATTCTATTAGTTTTCCTAAACGGATTCTCATCAATTATCAGACTACAGTACAGTTTACTCAATAAATTCACCTGCAGCATCTTGGTATCTTAATGCAACTTTTTGAGGAGAATCAAGTAATATGAATAAAGGTAGCTACTTCATTATAGTGGATATGGTGAAGGGGAGTCCGCAGTTTCTTATTTACAAGCTACTATCAATTCCGCTGGCCTGGAGCGAGCTAGATTTTTAGTATTCTTATGGAATAATAAGCTGCAGTTCAAGGTCCCTTTTTAGATAAATTTAGCCATTTTGGCTTGTGTTCAAACTAATAATCAACCGTTCCAGAAGAGCTTGCTCTGTTTAAATTTCACATGGAGGTTGTCAGACATGTCTTGCTTGTCAATAGATGGCGGTGTAGGGTGGATTACCATCTGCACTCTTTTCTTAAATTATATCAATGCTCTATTTCCTTTTAATTTTCCCTAACTCTTAATTTATCTGTACAGATTTGAGGTATTAGATGAGGAGCCAGGTGATGACGAAGAAGGTGGAGGTCAAAGGTAGTATTTTTAAGTCAGTCGTGACATCGTTATAAGTAATACGGTGGTAATAGGCATTTATCCCTACCAGTAGCTTATGGTGGGTGCCATACCAAATCATCTGTCATGCCTTCTCAAGACTTTGGTGTAGTGTTTCTGTTTCTTCTTAATAACCTGACTTTACCTATTAACCTGTGCTAGGTTTGATGGTAGTACTCGATGGTTAGGTTAGTGAAGGCATTCACTTATTTTGATTGGCTAAGAAGGCCTTATTTGCTCATGTTATGTTCAAGTACTTTCTGGAGTTAGAATTTTACCTTGAGAATTGTTTCTTATGAATTTGTAATGTTAATTACAGAAAATACAATGTCCCGGTGTCTCATGTTATTCCTTTCCCCAAGCAACATGAGTCATCTAGTGCTGAAGATTTCTCCTCAGGAAGTCATGTTTTGGCTGTTTATCCTGGGACAACTGCACTATATAAAGCAACAGTCGTGAATTCCAGAAAGGTGACTTTCTTTTCATCTGTTCGGTTGCACTTGTTTATGGAGTTTAGGCTGAGTACTAATTTTGACGTCCATGTTACTGGTGCTTTGCTCTTCTTCAAACATCCAGAGGAAGACAGATGAGTAAGTAACTTCTTACTATGTTTTATCTTGGTGGGAAATTCAAGTTGTTGATATGAATTTGGCCAAAACTGTGTAAATCGAAGTATTACCTTGATTCAGTTTAATATTCCTTCCCCCCTTCCGTCCCCAGTTTTCTGTGATATGGAGTGGTAGATAATAAGCATACACTCCCTAAAACGCAGAGACTCCTGCTAATTGACTTACGACCAGTCTCCTAGGCAAGAAAATAAGATGAGTGTTACATTTGTTATCGCTGGTGATTTAAGGAAACTCTCTGTTTATCTTTTTCTCATAAAGTTATTAATTTCTCGTGTATAAAGCGAATTGCATTTATCTGGTGTCATTATTACTTCTGAATTCTCTGAGCACCAAATATAGCATGGCATGAAGTAAAGTTCGAGGAACATCGCCCCCATTCACCCTAGGGAAATTTCAATCCTCACATCTAACATCCTTTTTATGCTTGTTTTTTGGTTGATCAGTTACGTGCTAGAGTTTGATGACGACGAAGAAGACGGGGCCATGCCTCAAAGGACCGTACGCTTCTTCCACGTGGTTCCACTGCCCGAAGGACATCGTCAGTGAGTGCTCATGAAAAAAGCTGTATAATATTTCATAAGATAGTATGTAGCCTCGCGTGAATAAACTAGAGTGGTGTAGTTACCACTCTGCTTTTGTTTTAGAAACCCCTTTGAAATGTAGCATCGCGTGGGTTACTCTGTGTTATGTAGTGAGTTGGATAGCGCTGCTTGACGAGTGGAATGGGTAGGAATGATGGCCACTCGCTCGTCTTAGTCACGCAATAATAAAGTTAGCCACTTCCCACATCCCCTTTGTCCAATTCGTTGAGTTATAGTCTTCAAAGGATGGTCAGAGGAAGACGAACTATTCGAGCCGTGTTCTTGTATCGCGTAAAGAGTTCCATGGGCAGCACGATGTTTACTCTTAACTCTTCCTGTCGAGTGTATGACGAGGTGTGAATCCAGATTGATTAGGGAGTAATCATCATTATGTGGAGAGTTTGTCATCTGTCTGTACTTTTAATCAACTTAGAGGCGGTGATGTAATTTGGGACGGTACTTTGATTAGTCGAAGCTTTTCACGTGAGTATCAAGACTCTCTGCGAATTAGACTTGTCAAACGGGTGGATCGGGTCAAAAATAGTCCGACTCAAATAAATTTATTTAACCCGTTTTAACTTATTTCTATGTAATGCAAATCTAATGACTCATACTTGACTCGATTCATACTCAATTCATACCTGACTCGACTCATATTGATAAAATATTTTTATATTTAAGTAAATTTAGGAAAATTCGTACCCAAATTGAGATGAAAGTGCGAAGCGAGTGAGCGCAAGAGATGAGTTTAAATAAGTTATAAACTCATTTATGATTTATTTAATATTTATATTATATTTAATATTTATTTATGATCTATTTATTAAATATAATTAATTAATTTATGATTTATTTATTAATATATGAATTAAAAAATGAATTTATGATCTATTTTGAGAGGTCTAACGACAACGAGAGCTTTCTTAATTCTTTAAACGATGCAAAGAAGTTCCGGGTCAGATTCATGTCATCCGGGTAAATTCCGGATTAATCATTACCGAAGGAACTCTGAGTTTTGTTTAGCTGACGGACTGACTTCTGCACATGTTTTTAAGGTAAAATTATTGGACTCGTGACCATTTTTAAAGGAGAGAGAGAGAGAGAGAGAACTCCCTGAAGTGATTTGGGCGAGACATGAAGTAAGACATGTTTGGATGGGTTTTTTAGACACAGCGTTAAAGGTGCCAAATCCACGAGGATTATGTCCATTTTCCATGCTTGTCTTGCCAAGATCTAACTGCTGTTTGGATAAAAATTCACGTTATCTCATTTTTTATTAGCAAGCGCAAGGGCCGCTCTCAATCAATCTCCTTATGTTGACATTAGTGGAAAATAATTTTACCCAAATATCTCTGTTTTGCACTGATCAAGCGGACCAGTTAGTATATAATTTGAGAGATTAAGCGAGGAAAAAAAAACAATATCTGTCCCCGACTCGAAGAAGAAGAAGAAAGAAGAGGAAGAAAATCAAAAACTAGGAAAAAAAACAATATCTATTCCGAGGGGTAGAATTATCTTAAGGATAGTGCTTGCACGCCTCGTCATACAGTTGATCTTATTTTCATCTTTCTCAAGTATTTCCAACAGCCCAAGCCCTCTCCTAAAGCTCTGAAATTCAAATTTTGACGTTGGATTAGAAGTCGCAGATTGTGTAAAAAGAAAAAATCTAAATGTGGTATTGTGAGGACGGGGGAGATGAACAACACTTTAAATACACGTTAGTAAACGATGTGGATTTATCGATCACATGGACATGCCACATTAGATTATTAAGGTGAATATAGACGGAGGATTGATGGGGGTAGATTTGGGACTTGAAGAGAAAGTTATTATTTTTTTTCTAGATAAAAGATCGGCAAAAACCCGTAAAAAACATCACGTTATGCCCATCATGACATATTTATCCTAAGTTTTTTGCAACACTAAACTCTAAGTTTATACTTGCGTGACACATCTACCCTAAATTTTTTTTGTAATTTCAAAAAATCTCAAACTTATACTTGCATGACACAATGAATGAAAGTGGGGCTTACGTGGCAAAAATATGTCAACTCATTATATGTTTTTTATTTCTTGTTTTCTTTTTCCTTTTTTTTTTTGATCTTCTTCCTCCTTCGTTTTCTTCTTTGGTTTGGCGAAGGTGATGATGGTGCATGGCGGCGGCAAAGACAAAGGAAGAAGGAAAAAGGAAAAAGAATCTTAACGGGAGCAAACGTGTAACTTGGCTATAAGTTTGAGACTTTTAGTGCCATAAAAAGTGTGTGGGGGTACATTTTGTCGCATGGGTACAAATTTGGGATTTTTGACAATACAATTACATGTGTGAGGTAAATACGCTACATATATACAAATTCGAGGTTTTTGATGTTACAATAAAAGAATTTAGGTATCACACCGGGCATGGTTTCGAATTTTCTGAGGCTTTTATCTAAAAAAACAAATTTGGGAACGGAATTAAAACCGGACTAAAGTTTGAGGAAATTAGGCCATGAAAGATATAAAGAGTACGAAAAAAAGAAAAGAAATGAAAAGAAACTTCCATGAAATCTCTACGTTGACGAACACGTACTGGTTTCCTTCGAATGAAAAGCTAAAGTCTTCGTCCTGCTAGGTTTACTCATCGAAGCTTTCCATCGTCCGCTGACCGAGCTAGATTAGCCCGGCATCGGCGACGATGCCTCGGAGAACATCTCCTTCGATCGGAGGTGCGTGGTCTTTGACATGTTCGGCAGTCGTTGAAACCTAACGTTAGGGATGTGTTTGTGCACCGGTCCTGTCCTCCTGTTGCTGTTTTCTTTCTGTGGTCGATTTCCCGTTGCTGTTGGAAACGTTGGTTTTTACCCTGTTCCGAGAGGCGAGAAATCATTTCGTCATCGTTTGCTGCTGCTGCTGCTGTTTTCTGAGCGTATATGGATAATAACTGAGCAGGATAGTGGTCATCGGAGGAGTAGCGGACAGGATAATATTTCTGTTTCGGCTTCTTGTTGATGCGGTTAGCTCTGTGCAACGTGCAGATGGTAATGATCGGAAGCGAAAACGGACGATGAAGGAGACAAGAATGTCTGGGATGTCTTCTTCTTCCATGAGAAGGCAACTTGATTTTTATGCTAGTTTGAAAGGCCAACAGGTGGGTCTCGTTTTCTAGTTCTTGTTCCTTTAAAAGGTATGAGCTTGCTGTCTTATCTTTGCAGATCTTTCGCTTGTGGTGTTTAAACCCATGAACTGGCGTGAATGATAATTCGTCATGAATAGGTGGCGGATAGGGTTTCAGGAGATGATGCTGGACACCATTATTGGTGCATTGTGAAAGTGATCGACTTTGACCGAGAGATAAAAGAGTAAGTTTCTTCATAATCAAGAGCAAGTTATTCATTTTGGTATTGTATTCTGCCCTGTGTTTTATCCTGATACTTAATCTTTTAACATTCAAGAACAATGCTCATTCAAGGTTGTCAACCTGGAGTCTGGAGATACTCATTTATTTGAAAGAAATTTATTATGACAGAACAGACTGTGACTCATCTCTTTTTCTTACGTGGATCATTCAATGTAAAGTTGATTGTTTAGTGTTCGTCTACACAATGTTCGAGTGCAAATAGCATACGAACCTCGATTTTGTTATATTCTTTTCCTTGAGCAGTAGAACTGCTAGTAGTCCATGCTCCTTGAAGCAATTTTCTTTTTAGCATCTGCCAGAGAGATTTTCCTTGTCTCTGAGCCTCGATAGTAGTACGAGAACATATTTTCTTACATACTGTGAATGTCGAATTTGTCGAGCCTCTTTAGTTTGATTAATGTGAGCTTGGTGGATGAAAAAACTTGCTTCCTGATTCCATTGTTATGCATCTTTCATTAGCTTTTACCAATATTAGTTAAACCCTCAAGTGATGGTGATATGATGATGCTCACTATTCACTGCTGAACCATAGTTTCTCTTCAGGCGACAGGTGCACCGTTCACATACATGTACCATTCCCATACCAGCATTTTCCATCTTGAGACGGCCATAGAGGAACACCTCTTAAACGTACTAATTATGTGGACATAATCATAATTATTTAAGCTCTAGTTATATCCTAGGTATTCTCATTCTATTAGTTTTCCTAAACTGATTCTCATCAATTATCGGACTGTAATAAAGTTTACTCGATGCATTCACCTGCAGCAACTTGGAATCTTAATGGAACTTTTTGAGGAGAGTCAAGTAATCTGTACAAAAGTGGTTACTTTATTTTAGTTGATGTGGTGAAGGGGAGCCTGCAGTTCCTTATTCTCAAGCTACTATCAATCCCGCTGGCCTGGAGTGAGCTAGAGTTTTGGTCTTCTTAGGGAATAATAAGTTGCAGTTCAAGGTCCCTTTTTAGATAAATTTAGCCATTTTGGCTTGTGTTCAAACTAATAATCAACTGTTCCAGAAGAGCTTGCTCTGTTTAAATTTCCAATAGAGGTTGTCAGACATGTCTTGCTCGTCAACAGATAGTGATGTGCGTCGGATTACCATCTGCAATCTTTAGTTAAATAATATCAATGCTCTATTTCCTTTTAATTTTCCCTATTTCTTAATTTATCTGCACAGGTTCGAAGTATTAGATGAGGAGCCAGTTGATGACGAAGAAGGTGGAGGTCAAAGGTAGTATTTTTAAGTCAGTCGTGACAATGCTACAAGTAATACGGTGGTAATAGGCATTTATCCCTGCCAGTAGCCTATGGTGGGTGCCATGCCAAATCTTCTGTCATGCCTTCTCGAGACTTTGGTGGTAGTGTTTCTGTTTCTTCTTAATAACCCGACTTTACCTATTAACCTGTGCTAGGTTTGATGGTAGTACTCGATGGTTAGGTTAGCGAAGGCATTGACTTATTTTAATTGGCTCATGTAATATTCGAGTACTTTCTAGAGTTAGAATTTTACCTTGATAATTGTTTCTTACGAATTGTTAATGTTAATTACAGAAAATACAAGGTCCCGGTGTCTCGTGTTATTCCTTTGCCTAAGCCAAATGGTCCATCTGGTGTTCAAGAATTCCCCTTGGGAAGTCATGTTTTGGCTGTTTATCCTGGGACAACTGCACTATATAAAGCAACAGTCGTGAACTCCAGAAAGGTGACTTTCTTTTCTTCTGTTCGGTTGCACTTGTTTATGGAGTTTAGGCTGAGTACAAATTTTGTCGTCCATGTTGCTCTTCTTCAAACATCCAGAGGAAGACAGATGAGTACGTAACTTCCTATGCTTTATCTTGGTGGGAAATTCTAAGTTATTGATATGAATTTGGCCATAACTGTGTAAATCGAAGTATTACCTTGATTCAGAATAATGTTCCTTCCCCTCTTCCGTCCCCAGTTTTCTGTGATATGATGTGGTAGATAAGCATACTGTCCCTAAAATGTAGAGACTCCTGCTAATTGATTTACGACTAGTCTCCTAAGGCAAGAATATAAGACGATCGTTACTTTTGTTATCGCTTGTGATTTAAGGAAACTTTTTCGTTTATC